AACATACCACTACCTATGAAGTGAGACCTCAATAAATTTGTCTACTTGAGGAACGTAGTATCAGTCAGTAATGACTGAACCTAAAATAGTGCAAAAGAACCAGGACTCCAGCAACTTGGCATTTTTGTTTACTTTTGTTGTAGGACCAAATCTCTTGTCCTATTAAAGATTTACATGTCCGTGGCAGAAATATCCCTGTTTAAATATCTAAAGAGTGACTCCATTTGTTTCGCCCTACATTATTCATTTGACTGGTTTTAAAGTTATTGGATGTGAGAGGCATTAGACAGACCACACACAACATGAGCTCCCCTCTCTCTAGGAAATTACTCTAGTGAAACAAGATGGTCCGCCCTCCCACCCTCACACCCATCCCTGGAGGGTGAGATCATGCCAGCAACTGCTCCAAGCTGCACGCATAGAGAGCAAGCGGCATTTCCTGAGAATTCAGCATGGTGTTTATTGAGCATCTCCTATGACTGTTATTGTAAAACCCAGGCTGAGTTTATTCTCCACTCTCCTTTTTTTTTTTGATCTTCAAGAATGTGGTAGAAAACCTTAGTACCAGAAGGAAGGAGGGTCTAAGATATGGTGCAGTGCTAAGGATATGAGCACAGAGATCCTGAACGCTGCTTTGCCATGACCAGCTGTGTGACTGTCTTAGCAATTTTCCTCTCTGTACTTTGAATTCCTCATCTGTAAAACGTATGGAGGAGGTTGGAATGGACAGATTACAAACTGACCCGGCATCAGACCCTTAGATTCCTGCCAGATCTATTATCCCAAAGTCACTAATATACTGGAAGGAGACTTTTGTCCTTTGTCTCTTCTGCACCTGCAAAGCCATGGGCATCACCAAAGGCCGCTTATGAGGGGCTCACAAGAAAAAAACTATAAATGTGAGTTCAATGTGTCATAAACAAAACAGTTCATGTGACTAATCACAAATCTGGACATCTTGAAAGTGGTATGCAATGTAGGTTTGCTTAAGGTAGCCTTTTCTAGCCTGAAGATGCTTTGAAGGTCTCTATGGAGTCAGTGATGAATGGAGAGACCCTGCCCAAAAGGATGTATTTGCCAAGCCAGGGCCTGGGAATGTGGGGGTGGCCTGAGCAGGGGGAGACAGGTACCCCAAACACCACCCACAAGGAGAATCAAGCTTAAGTGTTCAACTACAAGCAGAAGAAAACTAATGAACCAGACTAAGCTCAATGCAAGGGATTTGGTCAAGCTGATGGTGACTTTCAGGGTTAGGGAGAGAGAGCAACAAAGATAAGAGTAACAAAGAAGGCGGAAGGGGAGAGGGAGATTTATTAATAACTCAGGGACAATGCATTTTTGAAAATTAACATGTTAAACATCCTGCCCGCTGAGACATGGCAGAGAGGCCATCACACGGACTAGAGCAAACTGGAGCATTTCTCCAAATCCCCAGAGCCGCCTCTGGATCTCCTCCAGACCACAAATCCCAGGGAGTAAGGAAATGTATCCATTCACATACATACCACTACAAAAGCTGCCATCTTTTCACCATAAAAACAATTTTACAGAATGTGCTAAGGATTCCAGAAAGCTTTCTTGGAGAAGTGTTTCCTTGAGTTTTCATGAGATGAGTCTTTCCAAAGACTCCCTCACTGAGATTCCATGAATCTAAAAGCCCACTGTCACTCCCCTATACTGAAGGATTTCTGCATCTTACAAGAACAAGCGAGCTGAACCCTAAAGCACCAAGTGCTGAAGAGTTTCTGTACTGATGTTTGGACAGACACACACAGACTTCATCTTTAAGATGAAGTCATCAACACTGCTAAAAAACTTTCCAAATAATGCAAAGAATCAGTATATGCAGACCATTGAGGCAAATGAAATGAGCCTACACTGTCCTTCTGTTTCTTAGTAAATCAAAATTCAACTTTCCTTTTACCTTTGGAGCTTCCATGATGGGCCTCATATAAGACCATGCAGTGAAGGGTTAGGAGCAGGAACTCAGACCAGGATGCCCAGCCTGGCATCCTAGCTCTGTCCCTTATTAGCTCTATGACATCAATCAAGTTACTAAACCTCTCTCTGAACTTCAGTTCCTTTTCTCAAAACTGGACATCATAATGACACCTGCTTCCTAGGTCCTTGTGAGGATTAAATGAGTTACAACATGTAAAACATGCCTGACATTCAGTAAGCCCTCAGAAAAAACTATTTTCTCTTTTACCCTGTAGGATAAACCTTCCACATCAATAATGTCACTGTCCTCATCGTCCTCCCGCAACTGCCGACTCTCTGAGGGAGGAACTGTCTTATCCATGTCTGTTCCCTTTATGCCCAGTACCTGCACTGAAATATAACAGGTGTCTGTCGATGTCTGTAAATTAAATGGGTGAGCGAAGACAAGAATGGGGCTGGTCCCTAGGAAGGCCCCCACAGTCATGCTCCCCTACACCATGCTGTCACCCGCCAAGATCAAAGCCCCTCTTCTCTGTCTGGCATGATTCTAGCCATTGTTCACAACTCAGTTCAGGACATCTGCTCCACCAGGTGCTGGGCAGCATCATATCGCAGCAGTAAGGCAGCAGCTCGGCAACCAGACTCCCTGGCTTCAGACCTGGCTCTTCCACTCACTGGGCCCCAGTGAGCCTCCACACTTACCCACCACCAGCTGCCCAGGTGCCAGGCACAGCTCTGAGCACTTCAGTTCCACTACCTCAGTAAACCCTTTCAGAAACCTAGGAGGTACATACCATTATTCCCAGTCTACAGGCAAAGAAACTGAGGCTTACAGAGGCTTCTTTACCTGCAGTCACTGTGCTCCAAGCTAACTCTTTCTGCCTTCTACTGTATTTGCTTCTAATGAATCCTTTTCAAGTAGATTTTCCCCCAATTTTATGCCTTGTTGTGAGCTATGAGGGACTAAACATACCATTCCAGGGCCAGTATTTGACCTCAGATCCAGTTGCCTCCACAGCAGGGCTTTCTCTTAGTATCTGGCATGGGGCTAGTAGATACGTTACACTGGACAATGATAATTGATATATGATTCCCTCCCTGGATTCCAGTTTCAACCTTGATCTGACTTCACTAACATCCCTGGATACAGGAAGCTAGCTCTCAATTTAGTAGGAGCATTTGGGATGTGAAGCTGAGTTCAAAGCCTGCTCAGACAGCCAGCTGTGGGGTCAGCATGTAGCACAGACCATGGAAAGGACAGAGCTGTGTTCTCTACAGTAACCCACTCCCAGGATGGGATTCTGCCAAGAACTAGAGAACATGGCCAGGGCAACAATGAAGCCAGAACCCCAGTGCTGCTCACATCCAGGCTGTCTGGTGTGCTGCTATATGGGAGAACTCTCAGGATGGGTTTCCAAAACACAGAACACTGGACCTGCCTCTGTCACTGGGAGACAGGGGAGAGGCCACACACACGCCATGTGGTGTTGGCACCCCCGCTGCTCCCCCACAATCCTTACACACTCCAAGTTACCTGGAAGAGACATTTTCTACATATATGGCCCACAGGGCAGGCATCCTGTCCTGCTCCTAGTCCTTGGATGAGGAGATCGTAGCTCCTGCCACCACTTCTACATAGCAAACTGTTGCTAGGTTTATGTAAATACCATGGAAACTGGAGCTGTAACACAGAAAGACTCACAAAGAAGCAACTTAACAGAAGGTCAACAAGCCCCCAGACAAAAAGTGTATATAGAGCTCCATCTTCAAAATACAGCCAACTCTCTATTTTTCTTCCTAACCCTAGGCTAAAAAGGCTAATGAGATTCACAGACAACATATTAAATGATGGAATTCTCTACATAGCTCCATTTCTTTCTATAAATAATTTTAAAACTATTACCCAATAATGTATTGTAATAAAAAAGCTGACAAGGTCTTGCTCAACAAGTAATCACCAGCATGTTTTTGCACCTGGAGATGGAGAACTTTCTTATTATATGCCCCTGGTGATTTTTAGGTGTTTCCATAAAGCTGTTGCCATTATTTATAAGCCACAGGTTACTTCCCTTTGCTGCTCAAATTAATGAAAACTTATTTTAAAGACTCAGAAAAGCAGGGCAGACTAGGAGATGTGTGCCAAGCAGCCCCAGAGGGATGGAGTGGGTTTTAAGTCATTTTCAGTCTTCCTTAAGGAGACCTGGGTTCAATCCCTGGGTTGGGAAGATCCCTTGGAGAAGAGAACGGCTACCCAATCCGGTATTCTGGCCTGAAGAATTCCATGGACTGATCCATGGGGTCACAAAGAGTCAGACACAACTGAGCAACTTTCTCTTTCTTTTAAGGCAGCTCTGATTCCATCCACAGGACACGAGACAGCATCTTTGGAGATGGCGACCTCCTGGAGACGAGGCATGGGGAGGCAACGCCCGCTTCCAGGAGGGGGCCGTCTCCACCTCTGCCGCCTCAGCCTTGCTGGCCCAGAGCCCCAGGGCTGGCCTCGCCAGCAAGAGCCACACGGGCGGGACAACCTCTGCTGCCAGTGCCCGAAATCCCCCCCCGCATCCACAGCCTAACCTTGGCGCTTTGTGCTTGCAGAATGAGCATCTCACAGGAACAACTGTGGGCAGAGGTGGTGAAGACACATGCATACACACACATGCATGCCCAAGGCCTGGAGCTCCCTGCATCCATTCCCCCAGAGCTGAATGCTAAGATGCAGGAGAAAAAGGACTATGAGAGCCGCCAAGCCCCTCCAGTTCCTCTACAGATCTGTGTGCCCCTGGACAGGATTAACACCAATGGCACCAATAAGGTCCACTCCAGTGCCTATAAAAACTCTACCTACTTCCAGACCTATTTCAAATACTGCATCCTCCAAGAAGCCTTTTCTGTTACCATCACCAGGTGGAATGTCTCCCTCACTATGTCCATAGTGAGTGTGGCCACCTCCACGACACCTACTTGATGGCCTGGTATCCTAGCTATCTGCATTCTTCTCTTATTCCCTGCAGGACCACAGGGATAGATAACCTCTTGAAGAGATCATCACTACTCACCTCCATGATCCACTCATCTCCTCAGGCTCTGCCACCTGAATTCAGGTCAGACAGGGTAATTGACTCTAAAAAGGACACCAAACTTGGAAATGCAAACACAGAGTCATGATGAGCTGATGCTGCAAGCTGTGTTCTTGGGCAAGTCACTTAATCTCTGAACCTCAAGTTCTCTCAACTGTTAAAAAAAAGTGACACATAAGAATTGCTAAGGTCCATGTCAGCCTTAAATTTCTCTGGCTTTATAACAAAAAGCTATGTTAGTTGTAGCCAGGATGACATACTAACTTAATCCAGCGAGATGAAAAAAAAAACAAACATTTTTTTTAATGGTCTAATATGTATTTATTGGTGGAGAGGGGTATTTTTTTCTTTTGCCATTAAATTTCACCATATAGCCTTTGACCTCTTCATGGGGCCATAGCCACTAGAGGTTCTGTTGCCCTGTGTTTCCAAAATAACACCTGTTTACTGATACATTTGAATGACTTATTGTTCTTCACTTGTTGCTCAGTCGTGTCCAACTCTTTGCGACACCATGAACTGCAGCATACCAGGCTTCCCTGTCTTTCACTGTCTCCCAGAGTTTGCTCAAACTCATGTCCATTGAGTCAATGATGCCACCAAACCATCTCATCCTCATTTAAAATAATTACTTAACAGAGTTTTTGTCCACTGATAAAGTTGTTTGTAACTCAGACACCAAATAATCTTAAGTCAATCCAGTTTACAAAGAAAGAGCAATTGTAAAGAAGGACACAAGAGATGTTAGCTAACTATGAAATCTGTACTTTAGCTGACATCTTGACAAAGATACATCACTCATAATTTTGGATCCATACAAAGAAACTACAGATAATTCCCCCTCATCTGTGGTTTTGCTTTATGCCACTTCAGTTACCTGAGGTCAACCATGGTCCAAAAACCTCTAAAAGTTCAGAAATAAACAATTCTGAAGTTTTTAGTTGCATCAAATTCTGAGTAGCATGATGAAATCTCACCTCTTTCCTGCTGGAAGGTGAGTCCTTCCTACCTGTCACTTATTGACAGGTAACTGCAGTTATTAGTTACAGGTAACTAGTAGCTACAGTTACTTAGTACCTCTCTTAGTTTTCAGATCATCTGTCACAGTATCACAGCACCTGTTTTTTTGAGTAATCCTTATCTTACTTAATAATGGTCCCCAAGCACAAGACTAGTGATACTGGCAATTTAATATTCTTACTCTATCTAGTTTATAAATTAAAATTTACCATAGGTGTGTATGTATCAGAAGAAACATAGCATATATAGGGTTCAGTATAATCATGGTTTAGGCAACCTCTGTCCGTCTAGGAACGTATCCCCCACAGATAACTGAGGGGGGGTACTAATATAACAGATCTTCTATCTCACCAGAAAATGGGGCTCAGATATTTGGAGAAAACATTCGCATCAAACTATGCTTATCAACTTTGGAGAGAGAACTAAAAATATCTGTTAAAGTATGTCCCTGCTCACCAAAATCCTAATTTTATGCATTTACATTGCAGTAGATGTACATCCTTAGGAAGCAAATCTTATGACAGAAAAGGTTGCACCTCTCTTTTCCCAGCACATGGGATTAATGAAGTCATAAGTTCATTTTTAAACTTGGAGTAAAACACAACACACTGCCAGGAGAAGTGAAACACCCATGATTATAAATGCGCCATTTCAACAGCTGGAAGCTAAGGAGCAACCAAATAACAGTGGAGAAAATAACCGCCAGCTGCAATTTTCTCTCTTTTTTTGATCCTTTTACAAGTATGTGTTGCCTGTGTTTTGACTATTTTTTGAAAAGGAGGAAGAAAAAAACATCGGGCAGTCTTCTCACTGAGGTTGCTTTTTGCAGACACCTTTTTTCAGATGATATTACTTCACTTACAAACCTTCCCTTTTCTGTCATCATTTCTGAAGAAACACAGGAAGGCAGGAAAGAGCTTCCCCGGCACCCCTGACCATGGAAGTGCACAAGTAGGGGCAATGCAGCCAAAGGCAGAGCGTCCACATGTGCACGGAGGGACAAGCCCTCTGAAGGATAAGTTCATAAGGTATTTGAGAGGGAAGACCACAAATCCAAGCTTGCTTACTGACCTAAACCGACAAAAACTCAGACATAACTCTTTGGGCTCCGTGACTCCTCCCCATCCCCCTACTCTTCCCTGGGGACTTTGTGACATGAGCTGCTGGGGCACCCAGATAGGCGGTCCTGAACTGTGCCTTCGGGACTTTTGGGGCTTGGATGACGAACTCCGAGGTACCCCACAGCAGTATGGGAAGAGGGGAGACAGCTTAGCTCAGCCTCAGGGAAACAGAATCAACAGGCTGCCCTGAAGTCAGGCAGGGCGGACTTTTCCATCAGGCATAGGGAGCACACTGCCGACAGTCCATGAGGCTTTCGGTGACTACAGAACATGCTTACATTTCTTTTAGGAGCAGAAGGGAAAAAAATTAACTTTAGGCCCAAATAAAAGGTTTTAATGTATAATATTAGTAGATCTGTCTTTACATCATTTATTTTGATTACACTATGCAGGAAGGGGCCTACAAAGTGGGCCAAAGAGCCTGGAACCCATAAAAGTCAAGAGGAGCCCCCGATTCCAGATCATTCCTGCCCCCAGGACTTTGCATGTGCTATCTGGAATACCCTGCTTCTAACTTCCCTTTATTCCGTGTATGAATAGACTCAACTTGGCTTCTACCCCTTCCCTGGTATTTCCCTGGTTACTCTGATTAGTGACACTTTCTCTCCCTCAGTTTGAAATCCCCAGCAACTAGAGGTCACACCATAGTCTCACATTTCCAAAGTTTTTATTTCTCATGTATTATGATTCCTGCTCCTTCATCCCTAAAGACAATATTACCCCCTCACTGCTAAGATGACTGGAAGCCTCACCACTGCCTTCTGTGTGTGTCAGCCTCACATTCAAACCCATAATCAGATCCCCAAGTATCTCTCCTTATATTCCTCATCCTACCCAATGGTCTCTGAACCACAGCCATACCAGATGCTCACGGAGTACACCTCATATCCCTCACACCCCCAGGCCTCTGAGAAAGCTGCTTTCTCAGCCTGGGATGCCTTCCCTTTATCAGAGCTCCCTAACAAAAATCCTAAAAATCCTTAAAAGCCTAGTTCAGATGTAACCTTTTCCAAGTATCTTCCCAAATGTTTCTGTTGAACCATGTATCCCTCCTACTCTACCCCAGCACTGTGCATATCTTCTGCCAGGTTCATCAGAATATGACTTCTACCAAAGGAATTTGTAGACCATGCAAGACTCTTGAGTCCAAGTGCTCCCAGAAGCAAACGCTGAGACAAAGATTCAAGTCACAATATTTGAGGGGAGGTGACCCCAGGAGTGGGGGAAGAGGGAAGTGAGACTGGGAAGGGAAAGAAGTGAATACTGGTGCATGGTGCTTTATCGAGCAAGTTACCATGCTGGCGAGCTGGAGCTCACTGCAGCCAGGGACATTCTGAGACAGAAAAGAATGTGCCACAGAGTTTTCCCAGTTGAGGAAGACAGGGAGTCTATCTCCCGACTCCTGTCAATCACTGGTGCAGGTGAGGCTGCTACTGAGGGACATTCATTCTCTGGCAAGTCCTGCCTACCCTCCCACAGGCAGTGGCACTCCAGTGACCAGAGTAGCTCTTAGACAAACAGTTGCAGGTGCTTGTGGCTGGTCACTGGGTGGTGTGCATGGAAACTCTAAGACTTTAGGGGACACGGGAGACCGACAGCATCTGCTACAGACAGCATGGACTTCTACAGCCTCAGTCACCCAGCAGGATCCTATGCATGCAGCAGGCATGCAAGACTCTCTCATGCAAAGGAAATCATGTTCAAGTTCCTTGAAGGCAGGGGCCACATGTGATTTTCTCAGGGCCTAGCTTCAGTATAGGGACTCAAATTATGTGTGCTGGTTGAGGAACAGTGAGTGATTTAGCTCAGAGTCCTGCCCCCAAATAAGACAATGCTAAATAAACTGAATTCCCATTTTATTGGCTACTATTTCACAAATGCTATCTAATTCATTTAAGCATTACACACCAACCCTGTTCCTATGAGTTTTTACCACGAGGACAGTAATGACGGTGTAAGGAATTAAATAGCTTCTCAAGAAAATGCATCTATATCCAGAAAAACAATCCAGGAACACAACAGAATTCCGGGCAATTCCCCGAATTTGCAGCTTTCACACAGCCTCTGGCACCTCAGTCTCCAGGTGAAAGAAAGTGAAAGTGAAGTTACTCAGTCACATCCGACCCTTTGTGACCCCATGGACTGTAGCCTATCAGGCTCCTCCGTCCATGGGATTTTCCAGGTAAGAATACTGGAGTGGGTTGCCATTTCCTTCTTCAGGAGATCTTCCCAACCCAGGGATTGAACCTGGGTCTCCTGCATTGTAGGCAGACGCTTTACCATCTGAGCCACCAGGGAAGTCCACCATGGAAACCTCCCAGGTGGTACTGGCTAGTACCCAGGAACTGGGATGGAGAGCATCCTCCATCCCACCCCTCCAGAAGGAACCCCCATCCCACCCCTCCAGCTTCCTTGCGCTCATACCATGTCACAATGGGTGCAGAAAGAAATGGCCTCAGGCCCAGCCAACATCAGACATAGCCAAAGCCTTAAAGAAAAATAATGTAAGCTCAGGCAATAGCATCAGGCAAGGGAGGGACAAGCCAGCTTGTCTTGCCAATTTCAGAGCAGAACAGATGTTTCTGCATCTCCAAGGTATCCACCCTCCTAGGACACCAGACATAGGTCACCCATCAGTCATTCATCTTTATGATGAGTTGCAGTGGCCAGCACACAGTCAAGATTAATGTACATCCTTTCCAAGAAATGCTGTTTAATGGCAAGGATATGCTGAGGGTGATTGTTCATGCCAGATCATTCCAGCTGACACAACCAACCAAGTTTCAACACTAAACTAGAAAAAGAAAATCCTGCATGCTGTCTTAGTCCAAGCAAGAGACAGAGTAACCCATAGACAGTGTATGAGTTGTACTTCGTCTGGCTTGGTTTGATGAGACCTGGCCACCTTGAGACCTGTCAGGAGACCAGGGGTTTATAGGCTTGATGCAGCTATGACACCTTGAAAGCACTGTGGCTGGAAGATCACAGGAAACAGCACTCAGGAAACCT